TTGCTTTCTATGGGATACGCTTAGATGCCATAAGGTCAGCAATAAGAATACTTATTTTGTTCCTTTGTATATATACATATATATATAATTTCTACAAAAATACATTTTCCTCAGATTAATACTCGACAGAGGAGAACTTATGACGAAGGAACAATTAGATGCGAGTAATTTAATATGTACGAAGAACGAAGTCCAAAATCCTCAAGTAATATTTTCACCGAATATAAATTATGCGGCATCGGAAGAATTCGTTAAAAAATATCCGTAAGTAGATGAGTAATATTAAAGGAATGAGAGAGTGAAATAACAAATTAAAATACTTATTTATATACATATATGTATATATATATATAGATACATCGATCATCAATCAAATAAAAAACTTAATGCATCAACTGCATTCCAATTGTTGGTAAGACCTGGTTCATATACAATAGGACCAAGTGGAAAAGACGATATTGAATCACAATTTGAATCTAGTAAATGGGCTACCAAAGAAGCTGGTGCTACAGTAATCGTGGCTCTGCTAATACATCTGGATGGATTTTAAATTTTTCTTTTGAAAATACGTCGATTTTATTAATTTTCGTTAAATACGCGAAGAGCATTTTTATTTACAGTCAAGAACTATGTCGGTGTACATAAAATACCGTCGTGATACAGCAGTGGTAAGAATTAAAGATCAATATTTGATTCCGTCGAAGTTACGACATGCATTTGTGTTGTGACATTAATATAAATCTTATTATATATTGTATACTGCAATCGATTTTCGTCTTGTACGAAAGGATATATCTTAAGATTTCGATTATTTTAATATTAAGTTATTATAAATGATAAAAGAAAGGAAACATCTTCGCGTGCTCTATGAATACACGTGTATTACATTCAGAAATTATTTCTTTCGGCGTCAACGTAACTGGTGGCCTAGGTTTGAAGTTTATACGAACAAGAATCATATGGATACATCTGCACAATAATAAGTTCCCTATATATGTCCAAAGGGACATAGTATTTTTGACTTTTATGCTTCGCGCCTAATAAACACCAAATCTTAATGATTGCGTTATTAGATACACAATACATTTCTCAAAATGCACTATTCTGCAATTCTGCAACATTGATGAAGTTTCGTGTAATATGCACGTTGTAGAAATAAAAATGGACAATGGCAATTCTCATTACAATATATCGAATGATTTATTTGAAACAATATATATATATTTTTTTTTATATATTATATATATATATATATATATATATATATATATATATATATATGTATATATATATATATTCATAAGGAAAAAAAAGAAGAAAAAAGAGAGAAAGAAATTTATTTCAAATGTACTTTTTTATTGCAGTTTTTGTATTACGACAAAAATATTCCTACTAATCACAAATCAATACGAAACACAATGTTTTTTTCAATGTTTAAGAATGTTTGATTTAATGATTGAAGCATTTGTCTAATTATCATTTTTTCTTTTTCCTCTTTTTTTTTTTTTTTTTGTTCTTTTTTTCTTTTAATGGCAATTGTTAAATTACGCTATTTTGTGATTAAACAAATAAAAATAAAATACGAATGTTTACAATGAGAACAATAAGGATTAGCATTTATATTTAAAGCATCAAATTTTCTTAAATAAAATTCTATAAATCGTCAATTATATTAAAAATGAAAAACTCTCGTTAATGCGTTATAACATAAATTATATTTCTTCTTTTAAAAGTCACCAGATACTTATATGTGTATGCATTCATTGATTAGTACATGAGATCGACTAAATTATTAAACTAAATTATAAGAAATGTAGTTTCTTGGTATAAACATAAATACTTATTGTATCGAACGATCACTCTATAAATTGTTTCATCGTGACAACAATTGAAAATAATCATTATTCTATGACTTTTAAGTATTTATGTACAATTATCAAACAATTTTAAATCGTCCTTCGTGTTTTCGAATCTCTTTGTAATTTCTTTTTTATTATCTTATTTATTTTCTTTTTTCGTTGTTTTTTTTTCTTTTTCTTTTTTCTTTTTTTTTTTCATTTTATTTTTCATAAGCACACTTTATAAACAATAATTATTTATCGCAAATATTTTATACCCAAATTCGAACATTTTGATCCCAAGAGCAACTGGCTACTGCCATACCATTATTAGTAACACTGAGCGACGTTACTCTATTCTCATGACCCGATAGAATACCTTTACAAAATAAGAGAAAAATATATAGATTAGACGTATTAAACAAATTTTTCTTGATGGGTATAAATGACAATTTTTTTTCCCACATGAATATATAAATATAAAAAAAAAAGAAAAAAAAAAAAGAAATGAAACAATATATACATATATATATATACATATATATATAATTTACCATTGTGTTGATTCTTCAACGTATCCCATATATGAATAGAATTATCGTCGCTTCCACAAAATATGAATCTACCACTGAGTGATAATCCGCAAGATGTAAATCCTGGATTTGAATTTGGTGGTTTGAATGTTGCTAATTGCTGATCGGATCTGAAGTCCCATAATCTAGCTGTCTTATCTTCCGAGGCTGTTACAAAACCTTGTCCCGAAGGATGATACTATCGTAGAGAAATTTGATATATTGATAAATAACAGTCGTAATAGAAAACATAACGAGATAAATACGAAGGATCAAATTTTTTTTAATTATAATGTTTAATATTTGTGAAATCTCTTATAACTAACTCCGAGTAAACTCTACTCACGCAAACGGAATTGACATCAGCATCGTGTCCAAAGAATGTCTGTTTGGCAGTTTCGTCTCGCAAATCCCAAAGTTTGCAAGTCTTGTCAACGGAACCGGTTACATAAGTGTTACCATCAGGCGAAAGACTTATGCTTACAACATCTCCCGCGTGTGCACAAAAGTCTGTAGTTTTTTTATTCGCCTCGAGATCCCATATACAACTGAAAGGGAATAACGAATGAAACGCGTTATTTGATGAAAGGGGGTGAAAAAAAAGAAGGTAAAATAAAATAAAATAAAATAAAATAAAATAAACCAAGGAATAAAAAAAATCTATAGATATATATATGAGTATATAACTTACATTTTCATATCGCCGGAGCCAGTGATAATGTTTTTGTCCTCGAGAAATCTACAAGACGAAAGAAATCCTTCATAGCCAAGTAACTCTCGGGTGATTTTAGCAGAGCCGGTGGCATCGCGATTATTAACATCGTAAATGGTACACATATTATCCATTCCACCGCAGGCAACAAAATTACCGGAAGGTGCAAATGCCACCGACATCACCCAAGCCGAACGTAATGGTATTACTTGGACTTTATTTCCGGTCCAAGAATCCCAAATTATTAATTTTCCATCCAACGATCCTGTTACGCAGTGTCTAAGATTGAACAATTAAGAATGAAATAATTAAAAAGATTATGGATAGGAATACATTATACATCGTACAATTATTCCGATCATCATCGTATTAATATTAATAATGAAATATAATCTATTTTATTATAACAGACCTGCTGTCGCCGCTGAAATGTACGGAGTTCACCTTATTTATATGACCTTTCAATAACTTCTTCGTAGATAATTTTACTTTTGGAGCATCTGCCACGCTACCACATGCTTCCTCCAAAGTAGTGTCCTGTTGTTTTTTCTGATCCTCCTGCGAAATACATTGTTAATAGTTAATATAATAGTTCATCGAAATTATGTCAAATAAAAAGAAAATAAATAAATAATAAAGTAGATCAAATGCGAAAGAATTTGAATTGATAATAAACCTTGCACTTGTTGATGAGATCCTCCAATTCCTTTTTTAAAGCTGTCGTTTCCGCGTCATCCTTTCCCATTTTTTCCTAATTAAAAATAATAATAATAATAACAATAATGAATTGTCAAAGGACAATTAGAGTCAAAGGACCGTAGACTCGAGTATAATAAAAATTAAGAGTATTCCAGTTAGAAACCAAAGTCTTTCTCGATGAAGAACTGTACGGTGAACAATACTAACTGATTTCCATCGAAACGAAAAAGAAGCCACAGAGGTAGCTAGCCTGCTGCCCTAGTAATCGTATTAAAACCGATGGTTAATCCTATTTGTTGAGCATTAGCTTGGCTCATACACATAACTTAATTACCTATATATACAGTAACCATTATTGCAATATCTATAGATTTTTAGGGGTCTATATTATATTTATTCAAATGTCTAAACGGATAAGTATGTTTAATTAAAAATATTAATTTTTAGATTTAAAATGAAGCCAAAAAAAAATTATATCAATTTTTTTCATTAATGCGAATTAATTAAATTGGCGTTTCAATATGTGATCGTTTAGATCATTTCAAAGATATGTGCAGAAGAAAATATGCATATCTAAGTTGAATTATTATCTAAACATTGAAATATGCGAAAATAGTAATGTCGATGTCATCGTAATTAAATCTATTGATTTATTGAATTGTTTTCCTTGACATCTTACGCAACTCGTGAAAACATTGCGTATTAATTTTCTATTATTACGTGATTCGATTTTCGATGTAAAATTTCATCGATTTGGTCGATAAAGTAGATATCTATATTTATCGACTAATTCGATCGATAGGATAACCATCGATATTATAGATTTTGACTTTATCGAGCAAGTTGATGGAATGTTAATGAAATTACGTAAGTTCTATCTATAACCACAAAGTAAATATGCTAACTTATTTCATTAAAAAGTTATTCGACAAAGAATTATCTAATACAATATATGAATTTACATTATACCAAACTACATTTTAGAGATTATTTTTTAAAGTATATTTTAAATCTCTAAATTCGTTGGTTCGTACATTCGTTCGATTGGTTGTCTCTTCTTTGCAATATGATAGTCGACATTCGAGTTTTTCGATTGGTCGTCTCTTGAAACTAACGCGTCCATCTTTTCAATAACCATTTATATACTGTCATAAAAAAGACGCTTTTATTACATAATAATAGCCAAAACCGGTAAGGTTTTGTTTGGAAAAGCATTTGAAGGGATTTGCATTAAGTAAATATATAAGATCGCTCGTATCAAAGTCGATTTCCGTAAGGAACGAGCGTAGGAAATGGCGTTGAGATCGATCTGCCGGCTGTCAATTGATTCGACTTTCAGCCATACGAGCCATTTGCGAGCCACCGCCCGCCCGAGTCGACCGTCCTTTCTTACGTTCGTGCGAGATTTTGCTAAAGACGCCAAGAAAATGAGTTTGCCACGGGTTTTCTTCGATGTCATCGCCGATGACAAGCCCATGGGTCGCATCGTTATGGAGGTAATGAAAAATGAGCATTTCTTTTATCCAATTCTATATGCGTTACGCAGAACTTCCTCGAAAATTCCGGCATGGTTGGTTGGCCATCTTGGTTTTACTCGTAAGCCGGCAGTAATAAACGTTATTTCCGTTTTATTAATTATCCGTTAAGTTTTCTTTCATCATACTTAATCGTAACTTTCGATCGTTTATTTATTTATTTGCACTCCAAACGGAATTTAATGGAAGCTTTTTTTTCTATTTTTTTTTGGTGGATAATTATTCTAGTGTTTTCGTAACTTCGTGTCCTCGACCCTGACTTCCTCGTGCTTCATCATACCAGTAAAATTTTCCACTCATTGCCGATTCAATCATAGCGTGTTTCTCATGCCGCGTAAAAATTATTTCCGCATTTGTATAATTGTTTGCTGGAAATGAAGAAAAAAAAAAAAAAAAAAAAAAAAAAAAAAAAAAAAAAAAAAAAATAAAATAAAAAAAAGACGATTCTTGGAGCGAGGTCTTCCTTTTTTTTGTTTTCTTTTTCTCCTTTTTCTTTTTTCTTTTTCTTTTTTCTTTTTCTTCTTTTTTTTTCTTTTCTCTTTTCTTTTCATGGTTATCTGATAAGAACGATAGAGTTCAAATAATTCCATGATAATAACTGTGACTTGTAAATTTAATGTCATAATTAAATCGTTGATTAATTTTATGCTAATGTCCGCGGAAAATTTTATTTAATTTTCGAAAGAACCCATCTAGATATTTATTTTTATCACGTTATTATATATAAATACTTTTTTATATGAATTTCTTTTTTTCTTTTTATACGAATTTATATTATATTAAGTGAAGGATAAAAATATTTCTTTATTCTATAACATTCTGTAACTTTTTTTTTTTCCTTTCTTTTCTTTTAGCTGAGGTCAGATATTGTCCCTAAAACGGCAGAAAACTTCAGAGCTCTTTGCACGGGAGAGAAAGGTTTCGGTTACAAAAATAGCAGCTTCCACAGAGTGATCCCTAATTTTATGTGCCAAGGTGGTGACTTTACTAACCACAATGGCACTGGTGGTAAATCAATTTATGGAACAAGATTCGAAGATGAAAACTTTGTTTTGAAACACACGGAACCTGGCCTTCTCTCTATGGCGAATGCTGGACCCAATACTAATGGTAGTCAGTTTTTCATTACCAGTGGAAGGACCAGTTGGCTCGATGGCAGGCACGTCGTATTTGGAAAAGTTATAGAGGGAATGGATATTGTTAAGAAGGTAGAAAATATTTATATTTAAATATATTTTAAATAAGTATATGATACTTATCAAATTTTGTTTTAGATGGAAGCTATGGGCTCGCAGAGTGGACAGACCACCAAAAAACTCGTGATACAGGATTGTGGACAACTGTAGATCGTTTGACTAGCTACTGTAATGACTACATTTTTATTTAGCTGTTGCAAATATTAACGTCTTTATTATCCTAATAATATTTTTTGTCTAAATGTCACCTTTATTTCCAATGCCAGTACATTAACCTCCTATCAATGAAAACATGGCTTGCAAGTAAGAAGATTTTGCGTCCATTTAATAACTTCAGCTATTATCTACACATTGGGTGATGATATATGAGTCATTTGCAGAAATTCAATAATATAGAATAATACATTTCCTCTGATTCTATTTCTGCATTTATTTGTACGAACATGTTTGACCTGTATTTTTATAAATAATACGTCACATTAAACTATGTCAAATCCACATTCTTCCGTAAAAAATGTTGACCTATGCATGATGTATTAAAAGTTAAAGTGTTCATCTCATGCGTTTACAGTAATTTTATTCTATGTCATTTATTTCTGGTAATCATTAGAAATTAGATGCTTATTATATTCTAATAGAAATTTAGTAAAGATTTGGGAAGTCTAACGTATTTTAATGATGCATTCATCTACAGTGTCGATCTGTCGTATTAAATTTTCTATTATGTTTTTGCATTTTAGTACATAAAAACGTGTTTATATTTTTCAGTATACACGTCGTTTTTATACTCGTGAATCATTCCTTTATATGAGGTGTACTATAATCAATATTTATTTGACTGTTAGAAAACTGTAACGCAGGCAATAAAGTGTGAGTTATCTGGAATTCCTCGTAGAGCACCAGCGTCGAAAAATGTAGATGCAACAGTTTAAATAGTTCCGATTTCTGTAAAATAAAATTGTTCTCAGAAATCTATTAGATGTACGTCATTTGATTTGATTTGATTTGATCTCTGACCATGATACACAATCCACGAATTATAAGAGAGTTATTTTTGGTAAGGCAAAGACTGGATATATCAAAGGAAAAATTATATATATATATATATATACTTATATATATATATATATATATTTTATATACACATAGATGAGACAAGAATTTTATTATCCAGATTTATAATTCAATAATTTCATTGCAATTATTGATATTGCAACCCAACACTGATACAGAGAAAGTAACATAAATGTTCTTGATATAATAATATATATATATGTTACATTTATCTATATTTACATTTGTGATAATAAGTCACCTTTTTTCCTTTTTTCTTTTCTTTTCTTTTTTTTTTTTTTTTTTTTTTTTTTTAATAAGATAATCCGATCTGAAAATACTTTTAGATAATTATATCCATGATTTTGTAACTTTGACTTGATCGGTTTTAATTGGATATTTAACCTTTTTTCTTTTTATGTGGGGTGATCTATGACTATGTATTTTCTTAGGGTATGACATTAAACACTGGTAATTCGATAATCTAATTGTGTGTGTGTGTGTGTGTGTGTGTGTGTGTCTGTTTATCTGTACATATATATGTATATGTATGCACATATATAGTATGTATATATATCAGATACGATTCGAATTTACGCGATATTATTAAAAGTATATATATATATATATATATATATATATATATATATATATGATATATATATATATATATATATATATATCATGATCTTTTTTTTACTTATTTTTTATAAATAGGTATATAATATATTACAATCATTTCATAAACCTTCGGCCCGCAAAGGTGAACGCATATTATGTATGTATATAATATATATATTATTCGACGTAGTCATCATCGTTATACACTTTAATGAGCTCATGCTTCGATTGAGACTTGATTAGGTGTCTCTGGTTAGATTAGTATGATTATTAATGCACCATTTGCCCTCATTCAACGCAAAATAGTACTTAATAGTACTGAATACCTTCATTATAATTCACTTTAACGATTTAAACGATTTATTATGATTAAACCAAACTACGTGTATCGGCTTATATTTTGTTGTCTTTGTCTGCCTCGATTTTGATTTTAATTAATCGACTTTTTAAAATATAATCTAAATTAATAATCTTTTAACGTCATAGTTGTGATAAGATTAAAACGAAGTTGTACGTTTGTTAAGTCTTTTGCTCTTCTTTTTTTTTTCTTTTTATCAACAGAACGTTGCTATTTCAGCTTCCTTTTTGTTTACTTATTTAATTTTATTTTAAATAAAAGCAAATAAAATTGTCTGAATAAAAATGTCGATGGGAATTCGTCGTTACAAGGTGCAATTTTCTGATCTTCTTTTCGAACGTTTCGTAAAAGAAGCCGTCTAATATGTGATTTCTGCACATTAAAGTCTTACATGTAAACATCGGTAGGTGGAACGATCACATGCACTTTTTAGATGTTATTGATTTTTACACATTAGTAAATATATAATCTCTCTTTGGTATAGATATATAACATCGGAGAGGATCAGATCAAAGAATATTTCTATTTTGATATAATAGATATATAAGATTTCGTAAATACTCAATCGAGACTAATCAGACAAATTTACAAGGAGTCCACAGATTGTCAATTATTATCCGATACGAGTAGATATACATTTTCCTAAAATTGAAAATGTAAGCCCCTTTTTTCCTAGACTAATTTCATTCTAACAAGAGTATATATATATACATATATTTTTATATATTTATATATATATATATTATATATATATATATATATAATATATAAAATGGATTAAAAAACGCAGTAATAGTTTTCCGTTTCTCAAAAAACTATATTATCTCGATCTAACACACGTTCATCACCGAATTCTATTGTCCGATCGAATGTACAACGAGAGCTAAAAAGGGAATCGATTATTTCGATTAAGGGAAGAGAAGGTATAACGCGAATTACGATAAAAGGAACGAATAGACCGTATTACGTGCAAACTACTTTACGAAGAGATCTTTAAGAGATGAACAGATCGATGGTTCGCAAGATTCAGTCTGTTCTTGTTCCTTGTTTCCACCTGAAGAAAACCAAGCTGTCATTTTTCCGGGTCTTGATTTGTTAGGCGAAACCGATGGTTTTCCATTTGACGAAGCACCAGATTCCGCGTCGTTCCCTCTTTGGGCAGTTAAAATTTTCTCGATTGCACTGCCAAGGACCTGCTCGTTCGAAGATAATTCAATGAATGTGATTATATATATCGACATTGAGAAATAAATGAAATATACATAAATATTTTTGTTGTATCTCACTTGTGCGTCGACCTTCGTACCGCTAGTATCATCCCAAACAACCTTGTGCCTTGTCTCGTTGTCCTTCGACGGCGGTGACTTATTCAAACTATCATTCTTCGCACGTATGACCTTCGATTTATCGAATTTAAAAGATAAACTCGAAGTTGCCAATTCCTCACTCTTTTGTTTCTTCGACATTGGTTGATGTCGTTTAGTGAACCAATTGGATGGTGCAATGATCGAGGAAGTTGTTGATTTCATACCTGGACTAGCCTGTTTGCTGTTTGTCGTACCATGTAAAATCGATACGTCGAAACTATTTGAACGAAAGCTTTTCAATTTGTTACGCTTCTGTTCGGTCGTTTTGCTCGACCAATTGGACTTGCCATCTTCTCGAATAAACGAAGATGGACCATCCTCGCCGCATCTGTTTATCTCTGTTGCCGAAGATGTCAGCGAGCTTAAAATTGATATTAAATCTGTATTCGAACAAACGATACCAGCCGCAGACGTGCCAGATACTGGTGCCGTTGCCGTAGGTGGCCTAGGTACTTCAGAGGCTCGTCTTCTTATCGATGAATTCGAGGTCAATGATACTGTGGGTATTGGAAACTCTGAAAATCGTCGCTTTTGATATTGCGTGTAGTGCTGGCTCGAACTGTTACCCTCTAAAGGTTGAATCTCGCAAACGCATTCTCGTGATGGCGTTTTGAACATTTTCAGACGTACCTGTGTGGCACAAAGTGAAATTCATTGCCTTTGAGAAACATTGACAAAGAACATTTAATTGACTCACTATTAACTCGATTTTCCTTTTTGGTTTCTATTTATGATACTAGAAGGATTTATTTTCTTTCGAACAAAGGACATACTTGTTAGGTATTAGATAGATAGATAGATACGTAATACGTGATATTTAATTTTATTAGAAAGGATTGATCAATAGTAATGGACAGATGAAAATAACTTTTAACTATTTAACGATCATGATTTAGAATCTCTTCCAAATGAATTATACTTTTCAACGAGGGAAGTAGTTCCCTCGTTAAGGCGGGACTTGCTCGTTACGAGCTAATCATTCTCTCGCTCTTATAATTATCCTAATAATTATTCTTCTACTTTAGCAAATCTCCTAAAGCAATGTACTATCTATTCGTGTACTTAGCTAATGTCTTTAACAGGGATACTTTCAAACTAATGTTAAGTGTGTCCTAGGAGAATTACTACCGTGAATCATTTTCACGAGTTAATACTCAAGCGAACAGTAAAATAAATTATACGTATAAATTATATGCTATCTTATGGACGTATACATTTTTCTCGTGTTATTTTACCGTACTTTTGTTGGTAGTTTATCTTTTTATATTTTCTCTCTCTCTCTCTCTCTCTCTCTCTTTCTCTCTCTCTTTCTCTCTCTTTTGCTTCTATAGTTTATTTTAATAAAACTCATTCCTCAGGGAAATGTATTCTCAAATATACTGATTTTAAATGTCGAATTAGTTTTATTTGTTTGGAAAGGTGGTATATAACAAAACAATGCAGACAAAAGAACGAGGAAGAGAAATTTATCGATTCTCTCGGAGATTAAAAAAAAAAAAGAAGAAAAAAACAAAAGAAAAAAAAAGAAAGAAAGAAAAAAATTATACCTTTCTTGGTTTGATCTTGGCTATATCGTCCATTATATCCAATTGAAGATTATGAGAACTTCCAGTGTTGCTCGGTGGCCCGGTTGAATCCCGACGACCTGGTAATATCCTTGAAGAACCAGCTAGTGGAAATGCCGCAATAGATTCTCGACGATTACGACCAAATAGAGTTGGTGGTACCCTTGAGATCGTCACTACGGAATGTCTTCTTCCACCTGGTTGAGGTTGTGGTGCCTGCGATAATGTAGCAAGGAAAGCAGCCTCCCTTGGCGATGGACCCGATCCTTCGCCACCCCTCTCGCTCAGACGTCGTACCTTTCGCATAGAAAAAAGAAAAAAATCTTTCTCGATATAATGACCATTCGATTTTCTTTATATATATATATATATTTTTTTTTTTTTTTGAATAACCGTCGAATTGATTATTTTATTGATATCTGACAGTAAAGAAAAAAAAAAGAAAAAATTAAATAAACGAAAAAAAAAACAACAAAGATCTCATCGTAATCGTATTAATAAGATGATCCATGACGGATTAATTTATCACGAAATTCCACGAGATAAATATATTTTTTTTTTCGTCATTTTTCAAAATAATTTCATTAATCTATATTAGAGATGGGACGTGTAAATTAAATTTGAAAGTGATGACTCTATACATTTTTCTGAAATAAGTTTCAATTTTGAAATCGCTTTCATAATAACCGATACAAATTAATCCATTCCCGTTGCAAGTCTTTGACAGAGCATATTGGTTGGTGAATATTATTGATATTATTATTCGATGACAATTTAATAGTACTATATTGCATTTTGCATTGTTTACAAATCGACGAAGATTATTTCGTTAATTAATCATTTCCTAATGATATAAAAGAGAAAAGATTACTTGGGATGCTGTTATCCCGGATGTGCATTGTGGAGTTGGTAGAGAATGTTTCCTGGTCTCCCTCCATGGTGAGAGAAGGTAGGGATTCAAGGAGGGGGAATCAGGATCCAGAC